CTAGTTTGCCTTCCAAAATGGTGTGCTATGGTTTATTAGGAGCATTTATATTTGGTCAAAACGGAGGTAAGAAGTACTTCTAGGTGTCTTATAAACTTCCATTAGGACATAATCACATAAGACCAACCATGCACAGTACTTGAAGTTGCAGTTGGCTTTGCAATAACAAGGAAAAATCAATTAATTTGTTGAATTTCCAATTCGACTCTCTTTGTCAGATGAATTTCATGCACCCTCGTCACTAACTTTCTGGGTCTCAACATGAAATGATTTTCGCTCTTTTATCTCTCAAATTGCTTTTTATTTCTTCAGCTCTAATCTCAGCACTTGGTGGACCTGTTATCAATAGTGTAGTACCATCTACTGATTTGAGTGGATGGCTCAGATGCTTTTGGCCCACAAGTTAAGCTGAGGTCACTGCGGTCTGGAATTTCTTCAAAACCAAAGTTAGGGAATTACACGAGGTGCGTATAATTTACTCAGCTTGATTTAAAGTCTCAAAGGTTCATTCAATGTGTAAAGAGCGTTTTACGGTGAAAAATTTCGATAAAGGTTCAAGAGACAACATGAAAGTTCTTAGATATATAAACGGGAAAGAATGCGAAGTAATTCCAAGTTGGGAAGTTACATGCTTCTTTCGACTATCTAGCCTCTAAAAGGAGAGAGTTTGTTTTTCTATGTTAGATATAAAGAATTAAGTAAGGTTTCAATGAAATACATTTAATTAATAAATGGTTAACGCCACAGCGCACACTACTGAGTTATGGATGCACGTGGGAGGGCACTAAGCTTGAAAAAAGCGTAAGAGTCGCGCAAGGCGATAGCCGAGGGCGAGCTTTAGCTTCTTAAGTTCTTAGCAAACCTCTCAAGTGCATCCTTAACTCTATATTGTACGCTTGGGTTTTTAACCATTTGTTTTATAACAAAACATTGATACATTGTAGAAAAAGGGTTTCCTTTTATCTAACAAGTCTTACGTGACCAGAAAAAAAAATAAACAAGCGGAAACTAGTCTTTGCATTTGCTCACGTCATCAGCTATTTGTCCCAAAGACAGCAGTGCATTATGGTCCATGACCATACCTCTTCATATAATCCGGTTGTTTGTGGGATTCCCCTGGGTTCAGTTCTTGGACCTTTACTTTTTCTTTTATACATTAATGATCTTTTTCATGTCTCCAACCTTTTGTCTATCATTCTCTTTGCTGATGATACAAATATCTTTCTTCGTCATAATGACCTGGCTACCTTAGCAACCATTCTCAATGT